CTTTGCAGCCTTTTGGTGTACCTTGCTATAACAGTGACACCCCCATCAAGGCCTTTTCTTTGTTTGTGGGACAGATGCTTACTTATGTCTCTCTGTCAATTAGATGGGTATCTGCACCTTAACTTTCCTCCCTCCCCAGAGAAATATTTTCCCTAACAACCAGACTCTCACCGTACATTTGGCAGCACATATATGGTCAAAAAGAGCCAACCAGTTTATACCCCTACTAGTTGGTCTGGGAATCATGGCTGGGATAGGTATGGGAATAGGAGGAATTGCTTCATCAACCGCCTTTTACCATACACTACCCAAAGACTTCACAGACATTGAGAGAGTGGCTGAACCTTTAGTGGCCTTACAGGACCAACTAGACTCCCTGGCTGAGGGGCTTTTGCAGAATAGGAGAGGGCTAGACCTCCTGACAGCTGGAAAGGAAGGACTCTGCCTCTTCTTAAATGAAAAATGCCACTTTTATGTAAACCAATCAGGAATAGTCAGGGATATCGACCAACAACTAAGGGAACAAATCATAAAAAGGAGAGAGAAACTAGCTAATTCCTGGGGTAACTGGAACCATATCTGGAGCGGGGCATCATGGGCTTCTCCCTTTAACTGTTCCTCCCTTCATGTTCTTTGCAGCGCTCTTGTTTGGCCCATGTATTCTCAATGCAATTACCCAGTTCATAACCTCTCGAATTGAATCTATAAAGTTACAAATGGTAATAGATCAAAATAACCCCCTAAACGATGGGGAGCTCTGAATGTTCTACCAAAACCATGAGATGATGCTTTCTACAAAGAGTGATAGAAGCATCAAGAGGGGGGAATGAAGAGGAAAAGTTAAAATTTTACATAACCTTCATCTCCCTCTGTAACTCTACTTGCCCCTTTCAGTCTAGAGCAGGTAGGTCATGTAGTCTCAGAAAGTCAGGACTTGCAATTATAGAAACTGGAGTTTATCTCATTCACCCTCCCTTGTCCTGCTCTTTGCAATCACCCAGCCCCTGCAAGCCTGCTTAATCATGCCTGTCCAGGTCTGACATCTCCCTCCCCATCTTGACAGCTATTTCTGCACGTGAAACCCCTTAGTTTAAACCAGCCTATTAACAGCTAGTGTTGCCCACTAGAGTCTGTCTATAAAAAAAGTCTGTAACCCCTTTGTTCAGAGCTCAGAGCTTGGAGTGTTAACTCCTCTGGGCCCGCCAGCGTAATAAACCTGAGTTCTGCAGCTCTCTGAGTGTGGTGCTTGGTTTCTCAAGTACTGGTTTCTGCAACACCAAGTGATCCAGCAATCTCAAGTCTGCATGTACATCAAAGGAAATGAAATTACTAGCACTATACATCTGTACCCTCATGTTCATTGAAGTATTATTCACAATAACCAAGACATGGAGACTACCTAAGTTTCCATCAACAAATGAATGAATAAAAATGTGGTATACAGATATAGTGGGATATTATTTAGTCATAAAAAGAATGAAATCCTACTATTTGCAACAGCATGATATACCTTGAATGCATTATGTAATAAATCATAGAAAGATAAATACTGTGTGATCTCACTAATATGTGAATTGTTTTTAAAGCCAAACTTGCAGAATCAGAGAGTAAGTAGAGTGGTGGTTTTCTGGGGCTGAGGTGGAAAGGAAATGGAGAGACATTGGTCAATGGGTAAAAACTTCCAATAACGAGTTCTGGGGATCTAATGTATACCATGGTGCCTATAATTAATAATTTTGTATTATAGATGTGAAAGTTGGTAGGAGAGTATATCTTAAATATTCTTGCTGAGAAAAAACTAGGAGTTGTGTGGCATAATGGATGTACTAACTAACCTTTGTGGTAATCATTTCTCAATATATATATACATCAAATCACGACATTGTGCCTTAAACTCACTGTATGTTATTATGCCAATTATTTCTCAATAAACTTGATGGGAGGGAGACAAAATACACCTAGATGGATTGCTTCTTATTTATACAAAATGATTTTTATCCTGCCCTGTCACCTATAAAGTGTGAAAGGGACTAGTGGCAGCAGAAATCAACAAATTATTGCATATAGCAAATATCAGACATTTGGAGGATAAGGGATCAAGAGGGATTGATGGAGGGAAGATCAGATAAACATGGCCTTCTCAGGCATGGCTGGGAGGAAAGTAGCTGTAAAAAATTTATCTGTGACAGTATTGGACAAGGGCTGCCTAGGTGGCGCTAATAATATAGAACCCACTTGCCAGTGCAGGAGCTGTAAGAGACATGGGTTCGATCCCTGGGTAGGGAAGATCACCTGGAGGTGGGCATGGCCACCCACTCCAGTATTCTTGCCTAGAGAATCCCATAGACAGATGAGCCTGGAGGGCTACAGTCTGTGGGGGTCACAAACAGTTGGACACGACTGAAGCGATTTAGCAAGGCACAGCACAGGTTGCAGAAGAGACTACAGCAGGTATGGCCAAAAGTCCAAAGGACTGAGTTGCATGATGATTCAATTTTAAGTTATGAATTTTTCACCAAATGAGTCTAGTCAGTAACTCTGAGGTCTGGAGGAAAGGGGAAATATTCTGTGCTTAGGGATATAAAAGTAGAGAAAAGAAAACAACCAAAGAGTATAAAATTGAGAATTCAGTGGAAAAAGGAATTTGATCATGATATTGTAATATATTGCAATCCATGCAAGACATTAGGGAGGTTGGCTAAACTTTACATAAGAAAAGGAGTGAGAACTCAAGGCAGTTTGTGTTTAAAGACAAGATGGACAATGGATAACTGGAGTACTTAATGACATTCAGGTGACAAACACATGAATTACATGTAATAAAATGTAAAAGATATACAGTGGACCCTTCCTCTTCACAAAGAAGTGGTGAGAATACTTATCAAGTACATTCAAGAAAATTCCCGTACTGGCCAACACTGTAATTTCCCAGTCTGTTCTAGGCCTTTGATAAATTTCTGCTGGTAGCCTATAAAATCTGCCATGGTCACATACCTGTCTTGAAAAATTGTCAAGGGAGCACTCCTGCTCACTCTCTCAAGCTATGTCCCCTGTGTGTAGATCTATAGTTCTCCCCTTGGTTTGGCAACTGACTCTTACTCCTTTCTCTAGGTAACTCTTATTTCTACTTGTTACCTTAATTTCAGTGTTATCTGGGGCTTTGGATGCAAATACTTTATTAGAAAGCCTTCATCAAAGTGCTGCCCCTTGCTTCTTCCACTCCACTGAGAGGTAGGGTAAAAGCATCATTTCTGTGTTTCAGGAGCATGTCTTCTTTGCGTTTCTTGTGCCTTTCTCTTTGCCTTCTCCTCGAGTGTGGTGGTTTAGTCATTCAGTTATGTCTGACTCTTTTTGTGACCTCATGGATTCTAGCTCACCAGACCCCTCTGTCCATGGGATTTCCCTGGCAAGAATATTAGAGTGGGTTGCCATTTCCCTGTCTGGGGGATTTTCCTGACCTGGAGATCAGACTCTTGTCTCCTGCATCGCAGGCAGATTCTTTTACCACTGAGCCACCAGAGCTTCCAGAGCTATATAAATTTTTGCTTACATCATATTTGTAACTATAAACTCGGAGCAGAACTGGTCAAACTGAAGGACTGAACCCTCAAAAACACATAAAAGTATTTGTCATAAATTATCAGAATCATCATTTCTATAAATAGGAAGTGTAAAGAGTAGGACCCTCTGGCCTTCCTGGGGCAGACCCCTCCCCCATAACCTCTACTTCAGCTCCTCTCTGAAGTACCAAGATAACAGTATTTGATGCACATTGCCTGAGTTGTTTTTGTTAAAATCCCCCGCCAAATGGAAGGTGTTAACTACTTGATGCCCATGAGCACATGGCCCCAGGCCTCCTGGAGCCTAAGGACGGATAATATCAACCCCTGTGACAATGCCCTTTTCCCTCACCATCAGCCAATCAGAGCTGTGCACAAGCGACCACAAACCCCGCCACCCTCCTCCCTTTCCTGGCATTTAAAAATGCTGTGCTGAACCAAAACCCTTTAGAGAGGTGAAGGTTTTTTAGAGCTTGAGACACCTATCTCCTTGCTTGGCCCTGTGGTAGACACTGCTGTGTTCTGAACGCCTGTGTTTCAGTTATTTGGCCTCAGTGTTCTCACCCTTGCACTAACAAAAGCATTTCCCAATGTCCTCCATTCAGAAGCTTCTAGGTAGAAAGCAGCAGGTTGGAAGAGTCAGCCATTTGTTTTCTAACCATAACTCCTCCCACCAAGTTGCCCTACTGCCGCGTCTCTCTGCTGTGCTCAGTCATGTTCAACTCTTAGCAGCCCCACGAACTGTAGCCTGTCAGGCTCCTCTATCCACCAGATTTTCCAGGCAAGAACATTGGAGTGGGTTGCCATTTCCTCCTCCAGGTTATCTTCCTGACCCAGGGATCAAACCTGCATCTCCAGCCTCCCCTGCATTGGCAGGCAAATTCTTTACCACTGAGCCACCTGGGAGAAGATGTCAAGTCACCCTGTTCTGCCTGATGTCCTAATCCCAGAGCGGGAAGAGAGAACTTCCAAGACAACGCAATTTACAAAAAGGGAAGTTTTATTACTGACTCGAGTCAGGGCTTTCTGCTGCAACCAACACAGTGGCGCAAGGTCAGAAAAGCCTTGAGCAGAGGCTGTTATCCAAATTTATAAGGTATGCATAAACGATTAGTAGCTGGCTTAAGCAGATTGGTTACATGTTTGCAAAGCAATTTTATTGGTGCAAACTTTCGCGGGCTTTTTCAAACCTGGGCATTCGCGGGCTTTTTAGCTCTTCTTTTGTTTCTTACTGGGCGCATATTGGCTGGCTCCAGGTTACCTGATGGGGGTAGGGAATCTTATCATTTCAGGGGAAGCCAAAACTTAGGTCCAGGCCGCCTGTCATGGTATTAACCCTGGCAGCCTCACATTTCCCCCTGTCTTGTTGTTCCTGTAGAGGAATCTTTCTCTTCACCCTGGGCTACCATCTGATATTGTTGCCTCAATACCATAATCTGAATGGTATTTAGACGTTCTTTAATAAATGACATTAGCCGGTTTAAAATACAAGGGCCAAACGTGAGTGTTAATAATAGCACTATAAGTGGGCCCAGGAGGGTGGAAACAGGTGCTCAGCCAGGGGGAGCGTTGAAACCAAGACTCAAACCACCCCTGCTGGGCCTCCCGTTCCCTCTTTGGTTGCGCCAGTCCCTCTCTCACTTTTGCCATAGATTCTCTTACCACTCCTGTATGGTCTGCATAGAAACAACATTCTTCTCCCAGAGCCACGCAGACCCCACCCTGCTGAAGAAAAACCAAGTCTAATCCTCTCCTATTCTGCAAGACCACCTCAGACAAGGAAGTCAGAGACTTCTCTAAGTGGCTGATTGATTCTTCTATGCGAGTTAGATCCTCATCTATAGAGGCTCATAGGGAGGAAAACCCTTGGCCTTGCAGAGATAGTGAAGCTATTCCTGTCCCTGTTCCTGCCAGCCCAAGACTGAACAAGGCTGCCATGGTGATCGCACTGACTGGCTCTCTCTTTTGTCTTAGCATTTCCTGGTCCCAATGTGAGTACCTAACCTCTTCAGAGTGGTATAAGATTTTTGGCATTACAGCAACCAGGACACAGAATTCTTGACTCTGGTTAAAAACCTTCACATTCAAACATGGGGTTAGCCCAGTATGTGAACAAATCCACCAACCCCCAGCCTCTGGCACAATCCAATTTTTGCCGTGTAAGCGTAGGTTACTAATAGTCCTGGCACAGAGGGGAGTTTTATCACGTGGCACTGTGCCCAAACAGAGTCCCTGTCCCCAAACTTCATTCATTGAGAGGCCAACCTTGCGTTCTTCCCATCGGCATTGGGGTGGGTTCTGGCCTGAAGACAAGTGGTAAGAGACATTAAGGCCTATGGCCTCATAGTAGGGGGGGTGAAGATTATAACAAAGCCAGCAGGATTGGGTCGCATTAGGGTTGGTATGGTTTAAGACCGTAAAGGCTGCATTCACTAAGGCCCATAGGGGGTCCTGAATTGCTGAGCTAATGGTAACAGCCAGAGGGCCAGGGGTTTCCGTCAGTTTGTCTCTGAGGCTCGAGGTAGAGGAGATGTTAAATGTTTCCGGCGAGCTTGGTCTGGAGGTGGTTGGCTTGAGGGTCTCCTTATGCCCCTGTAATGTTTTGACCAGATTGGGACCTAAACTATGTACCTGCACCGGCTCAATAACCTGCTTAATGATTAAAAGCTCGCCTGGGTAGGGGCCGGGCCAATTTACGTGAAGCTGAAAACCCCAAGTCAGTCCTGAGGACCAGCGGTTTTCCTTTTTCGCCCGTTCCTGGTTAAATTGTACTCGTACCTGAGGCCCCTGGTGTCTAAGGTCCTTAAAGGTGAAGCTAACTAGATCTCTGTTTCCAACATCCCACCTCTGAGGTCCATCACAAGAGGTCACACAACTCCAGCTCCTGCAATAATAGCTTTCTATGCCACCACAGGCTTTCCAGTTATTTCTTTCATAGCCCGGGCACGCCCAGAACCCCAACCTATGGTTTTTTATCCCATCCCTATAGTACTTATCGTGGAGACCGTCCTGCTTTGCGAAGAGGCTTGAGAGGTCAAAGTTCAGGTCCGGCCACCAGGTGTTCGGAGGGTGGATTCCTGAGGTCTCATTGAGCAGCTCATGAGTTTGTCTGTCGTTGAGTTTCCAGGTGATCTTAGCAGGTTGATGGGGGTTGTGACTGGTCGCTCCTGGGTCGATGAGAGCTGCCATCAGCAGGAGAATTAGAAGGCCTCCCGGCGGACGAGTTTCAGTTTCAAAGGATTTGATGGGTGAGGACTCGCCTTCCATTCTGCTCGCGCTTTTTCCTGTTCTTCCGGTGTGGCCTGCCGCACGTGATTGCAGTGAACCCAGGGTCCAATCCCGTCGACCTTGACAGCGGTAGGAGTGGTAAGGAGAACAACATAAGGGCCTTTCCATCTAGGTTCTAATACTTTAGATTGGTGTCGTTTTACCCAAACACAATCACCTGGGCCAATATTATGTGAGGGGAGGGCCCTCTTATTCTGGCCCTCGTATACCTCTCGAATCAATTTCCAAACATGGTTATGCACCTTACTTAATGCCATCACTGTTTGCTGGAATTGTCCCAAAGTAGGGGGTGGCAGGCATTTTCCTTTGAAAATAGGATACATAGGAGGGGGTCTTCCATACAGAATCTCAAAAGGGGTAAGATTCAGCTTATAAGGGGTGTTATGCGCCCGAAAGAGTGCAAAGGGGAGGAGGGTCACCCAGTCCCAGCCAGTCTCTATTGCCAACTTTGTCAAAGTTTCTTTTAGGGTCCGATTCATTCTCTCAACCTGTCCAGAGCTCTGGGGATTATATTCGCAATGTAACTTCCATTTCGTCCCCAGAGCTTGGGCCAGCCCTTGTACAATCTGGCTCACAAAGGCAGGTCCGTTATCAGAGCCCATAGTCACTAGCAGCCCATACCTAGGCACTATTTCCTCTAAGATCTTTTTAGCAACCACTATTGCTGTCTCTCCCTTAGTGGGGAAAGCTTCCACCCACCCCGAGAAGGTATCTACCAGAACCAACAGATAGCGGTACCCATACTTGCCTGGCCTTACCTCAGTGAAATCTATCTCCCAGTGTTGCCCTGGCTTTTCCCCTCGGTACCTCGTTCCCGAGTGCTGCTTCTTCTCTGCCTTCATCAGCTGGCAAGCTTTGCAGGCTTGAATTATCTCTCCCACAGTTGCATTTTGTCGAGGGAACCTCAGGCAGGCCGTCTGGAGAAGTGTTAGGGTCTTTCTTTCTCCCAAGTGTGTAGTTGCGTGCAGGTGTTCACACAGGTGACGACCCAGGGTGGCAGGCAACATCAGGTTGTTGTTTTGGTCTCGGTACCATCCATCTTGGTCATCCTTCTGGAGGGTGGTATCCTTGTTGATCCAGGCGAGATCAGGGAGGGAATATTCGGGAACTGGTGGCAAGGTCCCCATACCAGAAGGTGGAAGTCCCACGGCCAATATAGGGGTGGCATAGTCCCCGCTAGCCGCTTCTCGAGCAGCCGCATCAGCGGCACGATTGCCCCGTGCCTTTGGGTCCTCTCTTTTCTGGTGACCGGGGACATGTACTATAGCTACTGCCCGAGGCAATTGGACAGCTTCCAGGAGCCTGCAAATCTCGGGCAAATTTTTGACCTCTTTTCCCTCAGCTGTCCGAAATCCCCTTTCTTGGTATATGGGACCTTGAATATGGGCAGTGCTGAAAGCATATCGGCTGTCAGTGAAAATGGTGACTCTCTTCCCTTTGGCTTGCTCCAGAGCCTGTATTAGGGCAATCAATTCTGCTTTTTGTGCAGAAGTGTTTGGGGGAAGTGTCTCAGCCCATATCGTCTGCCCTGACTCATCAACTATGGGGCTCCCGCCTTCCTTTGCCCATCTCTTACATAGCTGCTCCCATCGGTGAACCATACTAGCTCACTGTTGCTTAGCGATACGTCAGTTAAGTCTTTTCGTGCCGCCAGGGCCTCAGCCAGTATCTCACTGCAATCATGGAGAGGGCGGTCTTTCTCTGGGTTAGGTAGGAGCGTGGCTGGATTCAGGAAGCAAGGGGTCTGAAAACGCACCCGTGGGGCATCGAGCAGCAGGGCCTCTTAATGTGTCAAGCGGGCATTGGAGATCCACTTACCCAGCGGCTGCTTCAAAACCCCTTCGATGGCGTGGGGGGTGTAAACCAAGAGTTGCTGTCCATACGTCAACTTGTCGGCGTCGCGGACGAGGAGGGCAGTGGCTGCAATGATGCGAAGGCAAGGGGGCCACCCAGCGGCCACCGGGTCTAATCGCTTCGAAAGGTACGCCACCGGCCGCTTTCACGGTCCCCATTGCTGCGTCAAGACCCCCTTTCCTATTCCTTGCTTCTCATCTACAAACAGCTGGAATGGCTTATTTGGGTTAGGCAGGGCAAGGGCTGGGGCTTCTAGTAGGGCCTGTCTGAGTGACTGGAAAGCCTGTTTCATTGGCTCAGTCCAAGTCCAGTTTGGGGTCTCTTTACTTTCCTCATACAAGGGCCGGGCCTTCTCAGCAAACCCCATGATCCACAGTCTGCAATATCCAACAGTCCCAGAAACTCCCTCACCTGGCGGGGGGTCTTGGGCTCTGGTATCTGCAATACTGTTTCCTTCATGGCCTGGGTTAGCCACCGTTGCCCCTGCCTGATCTTATACCCCAAATAGATGACCTCTTGCCGGGCTATTTGCGCCTTCTTTGCACTAGCGCGATACCCCAAGGTGCCTAGGGTCTGTAAGAGGTCCCCGGTGGCACGGCTGCATGCCTCCTCCGTGGTTCCAGGCAACATAAGGTCATCTACGTATTGTAGCAGAATGACCTCTGGGTGGCAAGCCCGATATTCGTAGAGGTCCTCACTCAGAGCCTCATTAAACAAGGTAGGGGAGTTCTTGAACCCCTGTGGGAGGCGGGTCCAAGTTAATTGTACCACCGGTTGGCCCTCCCCCTCAGTCCACTCAAAGGCAAATATCTCCTGGCTCTGGGCCGCCAGGGGTAGGCTGAAAAAGGCATCCTTCAAGTCTAACACAGTGTACCAAGTGTACTCAGGCAGCAGACTGCTCAGGAGGGTATATGGGTTAGGGACAGTGGGGTGTATGTCACTCACCCGCTTGTTGACTTCTCGTAGGTCTTGGACAGGCCTGTAATCTGTCCCCCCTGGCTTCTTCACCGGCAGTAAGGGGGTGTTCCAAGGGGATTGGCACCGCCTGAGAATTCCGGCATCCATGAGTCGTCGAATGTGGGGAGTGATCCCCCGCCGAGCCTCCTGGCTCATGGGGTACTGTCTCACCCTCACAGGAATTGCCTCGGCCTTTAGCTCGATGACGACCAGATGTCTCTGTTTGGCTAGTCTCATTCTTGCCGTTTCTGCCCAGGCCAACGGGTATTTGTGGACCCACGGTTGTACATCTGGTGCTATAACCTCTGAGGGCTTAGGCGCAAAAACTCTATATTCATCCCTTAAGGCTAGGGATAAGACATGTATTGGCTGTCCAAGTCCATCCGTGACTGACATTCCCCCAGGGTCAAAATGGATCTGAGCATTAACTTTAGTCAACAAGTCTCTTCCAAGTAGAGGGGCTGGGCATTCTGGTATCACCAAAAATGAATGGGACACCTGGTGGGTCCCCAGATTTACTTTTCATTCTGTGGTCCAACAATATCTTTTTGTCCCCGTGGCTCCTTGCACTATGCTGGTTTTCTTAGACATTGGTCCCAGTTTTTTATTTAAAACAGAGTGCTGGGCGCCAGTATCTACCATGAAGC